CCGTGTGCATATAAGTAAACATGGGTGGCTCATACGCACTTGTGTATAAGAGGGCATGTGTGTTAAATTGCTAGTCAAAGAGTAGAGTGAGAAATATCAGGCATTCATCTGTGTCACTTGAAGAGACTCAGAGAAGTATGGGCCATCTCAGTGATGCAGATAGCAGTCCCTCCATCCTGTGCCCACCCCAACCCCAATCTGAAAGCAGCAGACCATTGTTCTAAATGCATCTATGGTGGTTGCACCCGAGGGCCCTGTTATGGAAAATAGGGAGTCCATATTTTTCCATATCATTTCTTCCTAAGATTCAAAATCACGCCGAGCTTTTGGGTATATTTGTAACCACAACTTAGGGGGAATGGCAGTATCTTCTAGAGGATAAAACTACCTTGGGAAAAAAAGAACTCTTGTATATTGAGCACAAGTTCTGGAATTAGACACTGGAGTCTACTTCTAATGCCACTGCTTGTCAGCTTACTTTGAGTAAGTGCATTACATTAATAAAAGCTTCATGTTTTCATCTATGGAAAGGAGAGAATAATGCCTGATGCTACTTGTATATTATGTAAATTTTAGTGGTACTTCAAATCTCCCACAATTATTAAAAAATCATCAAGGATTGCATAATTTCAAAATTGTTGGCAGAGGGGGTTATAAACTATCCTTAACAATTATTGCTAATGACGGAACCACTTGAGTTAGCAACAGTAAATAACTGTCATCAACACTCGTCTTATGTGAAATTGAGCTGTTGTTTAAGTACATCATAACTTCTGACAGTGGCATTAATGATGATGTGATGTGATTTTAACATCCAGAGTAATCATTTAAGATAGCTTCTGCATCCTGGATTGATCTTATCTAAGTTCATTAAGTGAAGGTGTTAGAGCCAAAAAGAAATCACCTCCAAAATCAATAACTTTTTTTTTTTTTTTTGGTTTTTTGAGACAGGGTTTCTCTGTAGTTTTGGAGCCTGTCCTGGAACTCCCTCTGTAGACCAGGCTGGCCTGGAACTCACAGAGATCCGTCTACCTCTGCTTCCTGATTGCTGGAATTAAAGGCATGTATCATCACAAAAACCAGCCCAGGTTTTTGTTTTTGTTTTTCTGGTTCGTTGGTCGTTTTTTGTTTTGTTAAAGGCATGTGCCACCAACGCCAGGCGTGGTTTTTATTTATTTGTTTATTTATTTATTTTGAGACAGGGTCCAGATTATCCCAGAATGCTATGTCCTTGAACTCCTGATCTTGCCTTTGCCTCCAAAGGGTTGAAATCAGAGGCATATGCCACCATGTGCTAATTATCCCAGAATGCTATGTAGCTGATGCTGTCCTTGAACTCCTGATCTTGCCTTTGCCTCCAAAGGGTTGAAATCAGAGGCATATGCCACCATGTGCTAATCGAGTACTTACTAAGGAGTTGGCTCTCATGGTTGTGGAGGCTGAGCAGTCCCATGCAGGCCACTAATAAACTGGACACTCAGGAAAACTGGTGATACAGCACAGTCCAAGGTCAAAGGTCTCAGAACCAAGGAGGCTGTGGTGTAACCATCAGAGGCCGAAGGTCTGAGAACTGGGAACTGCTGGTGAAATTAATGGGCTCTAAAAGCCAGAAAATCCATCCTTCTAATGATCAACAGTAGAAGTGTGTCCCAGCTCTAGAAAGAAGAGTGAACAAATTCATTTCCTTTACCTGAGTTTTAAAAAAGATTTCTATTTTATATTTCTGTTAAAACTTGTTATCACATTGCATATTCATTCAGTATGCATGTGTATAGGCAAGTGTGTGTTATGACAGGTGTGTGGAGCTCAGAGACGGGAAGAGTTTGGTTTTCTTCTTCCACTTTGTGCGTCTAGAGGATTGAAGACAGGTCCTTAGGTTTGGCAGTAGGTGCTTTCCCCCAACTGATTTGCCCAGTGTGTGGGTGTAATTTTGTTTGCATGTGTGTATGTGTACTCTGTGCATGTCAAGTGCCCACAGAGGCCAGAAGAGGGCATCAGATCCTCAGGAACTGGAGTTATAGACAATGCCAACCACCATGTGGGTGCTGGGACTCAAACTCAGGTCCTGTGCAGCAGCAGTCAGCGCTCTTATCCAGCCCCTCCCTTTGCCTTTTTTGTTGGGGGGGGTTTCCAGACAGGGTTTCTCTGTGACTCTGGAGCCTGTCCTGGAATTAGCTCTTGTAGACCAGGCTGGTCTCGAACTCACAGAGATCTGTCTGCCTCTGCCTCCCGAGTGCTGGGACTCCACCACTGCCCGGCCTACCTTCTTTTTTTTTTTCATTTGTGCTTGCGGCCATCTGGGTAGTGCCCATTTATACCAAGGGCACGCCTTCCACACTGGGCCATTGTATTTACATGTTGGTCTTCTCTGAAACACTCTCACAGACATATTCAAAGATAATGGCATAAACCAGTTAAGCTGGCTCCTGAGATTAAATAGCACTGGGCTTACTTCAGGTAGTTGTTGATACTACTATGGTTTCCATCCACAGCTTAACACAAGGCCCTAGACATTGATGGACGCCAGGGTGGTTCCAACCCGGAAGTCTGGAGGCTTCCAGAGTCTCATCAAAACCTGAAGGTGTTGCAGTTGAAACGGCAGCTGAGCTGGTGAAAATTGTAAACTTTATAAAGTTGTTTGTTGCTGTCTGGGGTGGAACTCCAGCCCTTTGTGTTTGGGTTCTAGATAAGCACTCTGTTACTGAGCCGTACCTTTGTCCAGGAATCAAAGTTTAAATCCATACTGGGCAGCTTACCATTCTGGATCACTGTCAGCTTCAGCAGCACATACAGAAATACTACAACTATTATAGTTTGTAGAGATGGCTTGGTGGGTAAGAACACTGAATGATCTTCCATAGGACCCAGGTTCGATTCCTAGCATCCACTTTCTGTGACTCCAGTTCCAGGGTCCTATTAATCCCAAAGATGGGAGGATAAAGACCATTGACCTAAATCATCAAGACCATGATCCAAATAAAATAAAACAAGCAACTAATTAAAGCAAGGTTTTTTTTTTTTTTTTTGTGGATTACACAGGCTGCTTCCCCCTAAGGTGGGGTTTGAGAGGTCAGCACTGGACGTGAGGAAGACAAGGTTTTTATAGGTCATGGGCAGGGGTTTCCAAATGGGGGATTTGGCAGGCAGAATAGGTGAGGACTCAGGAGCAGAACATAAGCATAACAAGTTAGTCATAACGACCTACTTTTTGAAACAAAGACGGGATTGCCATTCCTGGAACAGGCAGGTTACAGGTGGGGTATAGCCCAATCCGGAGAAACAGAGGTTTAATCATAAACAGGAATGGACTTAGTTTGTCTTTACTAAGATGGCTTTTACACCTAAAATGGAGGCAAACTTCAATCTAACACCCTCTTTTGGTCTCTGTAGGCACCAGGCATTTGTGTGGTACACAGACATACATGCATGCAGACAAAACACCCATACACATTAAAAAAAAATTGGAACTGCACAAAGAAGATTGTCATGGCCCCATGCAAAGACTGTATGCAAATTCCTGAGACGTTTCATTAGGAAGAAGAGAGAAGGAAGTCTGGACCAACAAAAATTCAAGGACAGTGTCCACGTGGCTATGCAAGACAAAGCATCAATAGCGCCACCATGTGGTCAAAACGTCAATTGTACAGGAACCAAGATCACTGATATTTATTAGAATTTCACACAGGTGGAACCATGTGTAGTTGGGGACAGGATCCTGGTGGATCGCAGGAACTAGGTTTGCTGACTTACAAGACTATCTGCTCTACAGTAGGGCTTTAGGGTGGAGACTTAGGATGTCTAGGATGCCACAGAGTCAGCAAAAAAAGAAAAATAAAGTGCAACCATCCTGCAAATGCATGCAATAAGTTTGTTCCTAGAATTATGATGTAGACAAATATTTTTAAATCCCAACTGTCCTGGAGAACCCTTTGTAGACCACGCTGGTTTTGAACTCCCTGCTTCCTGAGGAATGTTTTGTGTTGCTTCTGAGACAGGGTCTTACTGTAGCCTAGGTTGGCCCACAGTTCCCTATACAGGCTTCTCAATAATTCTATCTCAACCTTTTCAGTACTGTTTTTACAGACTTGCAACCAAGCCCAGATTTCTCTTTGGTTCTTTAAAAAAATATTATTGTTATTCTTACTGTTACTGTCTTTATTGGGGTGTGTGTGTAGCTTATGTGTATTTGTATAGTGCACTATGTGTGTGTATGTAGGATGTATGTGTGGTGTGTGTGTATGGTATGTGCATGTGTGTGGGGTGTATGTGTATTGTGTGTGTGTCTATGGGTAAGTGTTGTGTGTGTGTATGTATGAAATGCGTAAGTGTGGGGGCATATGTATATTGTATGTGTGTATGTGTGTGTCTATGGTATTTGTGTGTGTGTGAATGATATGTGTATGTGTGTGTCTATGGGTAAATGTTGTGGTGTGTGTAGGTTATAGAAGAGCTTTTGAAAGTTGGTTCTCTCCTACTGTGGAATCAGGGGATTGAACTTAGGTTATCCGGCTTATGCAGCAAGCATTTTCCGCTGCTAAGTCATCGCCTTGGTTTTTCTTAAGGAAAAGCTCAGAGCAACAGCTTTCTAGGGAGAATTGCTGAAAGTCTCTCTACAACCACTTAGACAGACTGGAAATGTGGGAGAGCCATTCATGTGTTCTTACATGCACTCTTTGCAGAGTGACTTTGAGGGTCTTGTCCTTAAGAGGCAGAGAGTCTGTCCTTCCATGAATTTGAGCTGGGTAGACCAACCGATCAGTGGAATTAAGCAGCTGTGATGCTACTTTTCTTCCTGGCTTCACATTCAAGAAGCCTTGTAGCCAGGTGGTGGTGGCTCACACCTTTAATCTTAGCACTTAGAAGGCAGAGGCAGGTGATCCTTGAGTTCAAGGCCAGGCTGGGGGAGGGAGGGGAGGAGAAAGAGAGGGAGAAGAGAGAGAGACAGAGAGAGGGACAGACAGAGACAGAGAGACAGAGAGAATAAATGGCCACAAGGCAAGTAAGAGAAGAAATGTCTGCACGTTTTATTGTAGAGTCTGGTAAACTTGAACCATAAAGCTGCACACAGTGGTTTAGAGAGCATGTTGGTGCCATGGGGTTGGTGGATGAAAACAGTTCCCTCTGCCTGAGCCTAAGTCTGGCAGTGGCTAGGGAAGGAAGGCAGCGGCAAGGCATTAACTGGCTGAGCTGAAGCCTGGGTAGCAGGGCTTACTCAAGCCTCCTGCTGCCTGTCTCAGGCCCTGGGGTCATGTATCCGACCCATGAAGACTGGGAACTTGTGCTGCTGGTCCCAGAGCAGGAAGAGGAAGGGTTGCTGCACTTCGAAGATGATTAAGTTTCGGGCCACAGAGACGGCTGAGGCTGCAGCTGCCTCCACACCGGTCTCTGTCAGCTCTAGTGCGGTCTGGTGCTTCATGGCAGACACCTGAAGATCTGGGTCCTCAGTTAGCCCACAAAGGTTGAGATCGTAAGTGAAGTCAAAGAATTCTAGGGCAAAACAAGGAAAAAAACAAAACCAGAGGTCAGTAGGAGCTGGGTGGACACACACCTTTAATCCCAGTACAGGCAGGGGCAGGCAGATCTCTGTGAGTTTCAGGACAGCCAGGACAGCCAGGGTTACGCAGAGAAACCTTATCTTGGAACAACAACAAAACAAACTAACAAACAAACCAGAGATCAGCAGTAAACTCTTGGTGGGTGGAGATTCTGCTCTTAAATTTTCTGGGTTAGTCTTAAATTCCTCTAGTCTCTTGCTTCTCAGTGTCTGCGTCATCCCTCCTGGTCTTGGAAGTGGATATTGTGTTAAGTGGGAACCCCTGTTAGCAGGCCCAACTACCACTCTCAAGAGGTGAGAGGCTTCAGTCTGCCCACCACAAACTGTCCACTGAAAAAAAATGACATATTATTTCCTTGTCTCCAGGGACTTTGAGAAACAAATAGAGATGGATAATATGCTAGAAAGTGAGATCATATAAGGGTATAATGCTAGTAAGAAATATATATTGGTCTCCACCCCAAATTCCTGACAAAGAACTCCTGAAACCTTAACATTTCCTTAGCAACAGGCGTGCTGGCAGCACATTGTGTGTGTGTGTGTGTGTGTGTGTGTGTGTGTGTGTGTGTGTGTGTGTGCGCGTGTGCGCGCGTGTTTTGTTGTTTTTCCTGAGACAGGGTTTCTCTGTGTAGCTGCCCTGGCAGAACTCTGTCTGTAGACCAGACTAGCCTTGAACCCTTGAACTCACAGAGATCTTCCTTCCTCTGCCTTCTAAGTGCTGGGATTAAAGGTGTGCATCGACGCCACTACCACCCCAGCTAATATTTGGTTTTTGATCCCTGTTTTTAAAGCTCTAGCAATTCCTCAGTACTAGGCTTATCTTTTAGTCTATTATTTGGTTCCTGATCCTGACTTTGGAAAAATCAGATTATACATTAGGTGATTAAGTTGTTAGGACAGAAAATGAGTTACAGATCTAGCTAGGGATGAAGCCACAGGTTAGAAAGGGGTGCTTCCAAAGTTTCACCCAAACTCAGGAACCCCAGACTCATATCTAGATGGATCTGAGTTTATTCTGTGAAGTGGTTGACGAGTAAATGTGGCCAGGAAGTAAATATCCACAATTCACAGCCCATCTGGGTCACCTGTTCCAGTGAGCCCCAGCAGAAATATCCCAGAGAGCTGGAGATCTGGTTTGACTCCAACTAGTTCAAAGGTAAGTCACATATAGTTTCTGTCTTCTCAGTGACCTTTGACTCACATGGTTGAGGGGTAAACTCATGTTACAGGTGAAGAAAAGTACTCTAGACTAACAGCAACTTTTTAGCATCCCTTTCCCCCTTCTGCTCGTGACCCAGGAGAAACCTCAAGTGGCCAGGGCTCACCCATTTTCTCCATGACTGACAGCATGTCTTGGCTGCTCTTTACTTTGATTCGAGGCATCATCAGGTAGGTGGGCTGGTATTTAGACAGTGCCAGCTTCTTCATGATGGCTTTGAAGACAGTGGGGGTGAGTGCCTCTTCCATGTCTTCAAGTTTGTGCTTCTGGCTCTGGGGCACCATGATCACAAAGCTCAGGTTGTGAGAGAGCTGCAGCTGTCCCACCTAGAGAGTATGAGACAGACTGCATTAGCTCTTCCAACCCAAGCTCTTTGCTGTCCTCCCCCATGCCCCGCGCTCCAAGACTGTCTTCTAGAGTGTGCTGCTTCAATAAGCACCAGCCGGACCTGACTGCCATGATGTGCCATGAAATGGGGCTGCCAGTCGGTCAGACTAAAGTGCACCGGTCCTGCTGAGGGCTCAAGGAACGAACACAAGTTTTAGATTATACTTCGGCTAGCTATGTAATAACAACACAGAGGGGTTTGCTTTCCCTCTCTCCCTCTTTCCCTGCCTCCCTTCCTTCCATAGGGTATTATGCAACCCAGGATGGGTTCAAACCAACAGAAGATGATCCTGAACCTTCCTCCTGTTCTTCCTCCCCCTCCCAACATGCTCCCCCCCCTCTCTCCCTTTCCCTCTCCCTCCCCCTTGTTTTTTGAGACAGGGTTTCTCCGTATAACAGCCCTGGTTGTCCTGGAACTTGTTTTGTAGACCAGGGTGGCCTTGAACTCACAGATATGCGTCTGCCTCTGCCTCCTGAGTGCTGGGATTAAAGATGTGAGCCATCACCGCCCAGCTGACCCTAAACTACTGATCCCTCTGTCTTCACCTTCTACATGGTAGGATTACAGGTACATACTACCACAGTTAGTTTTATGAGGTGTGGGGGATCAAACCTTCTTTTTTTTGACAGGGTCTTATATAATGCTGGCTGTCCTGGAATGTGGTATGTAGACTAGGCTGGCCTTGAACTCACAGAAAATTATCTGCCTCTGCCTCCAGAGAGCTAGGATTAAAGGCATGCACCACCAAGTCCAGCTTGGTTGAGCTCCCTAGTCTGTCTTTTCTCTCTCCCTACCCACTAGAATTATGTTGTTCAGTTTCTGCTAAAGAACTTAATTCAGCTTGCCATGGTTACACACATCTTTGATCCCAGCACTCGGGAGGCAGAGGCGGGTGGATCTCTGAGTTCCAGGCCATCCTGGTCTATGGAGTGAGTTTCAGGACTGTCAGGGCCACACAGAAAAACCTTGTCTCCAAAGAACAAAAAACAAAACAAAAAATTAACACCCGTTTAGACATATACTTAACGCATATCTGCACATATACAATGATATTGCTATGAGTATACTTATACATATACATAACTGTACATACAACAGTGTACACACACAGAGGACATAGAGAGCTACCAGTGTACCCAACGTGGTGGCTGCTAAGAGAGAGAGATGCACAGAATTTAAAAAAGACTCACTTTGCCGGGCGTTGGTGACGCACACCTTTAATCCCAGCACTTGGGAGGCAGAGGCAGGTGGGTCTCTGTAAGTTTGAGACCAGCCTGGACTACCAAGCAAGTTCCAGGACAGCCTACAAAGCCACAGAGAAACCCTGTCTCAAAAAACCAAAAAAAAAAAAAAAAAAAGACTCACTTTTTTGCCATTTGATGCAGTAGAGATGAGTGAAGAAACTTTAGAATCATGTCTAGACTCCTGTCTTCCAGCCTAAACTTCCCTGCCTCCAAAACTAGAGAGAGGAGAAGGAGAAAAGAGGATGGGACTACTAGATGGACGAAATAGAAACGGGAAATTTGCAAGCAGACACTTCATAATGATAGGGCCATTGCAGAAAGGAAGTCAGGACACTCTGATATGTCTGAAGCAGGAACGGGAAGAGTCAAGAACTTACTTTGGCCTTCAAAGTCTGGTCACTGAAATGGGCCATCGGGTACTTTTTGCTACTCATCATGGGCACTTTAATCACAGAGTTTTTGTAGCGGAAAGATGCCTTCCCAGTTTTCTCTTCAAACGCTTTCTTCCACTTGGCTAAAGGAAGAAAGGGTAGCTGGAATGGCGGTGGGGACAAAGAGTGTAAGGCCCTGTTAGGGAAGGGTCGGGCAGTGGCATAGGAATGCGGCCACCGTGGAACTGTGAGTCGGGCAGGATGTGAAGACAGGACTGGATGGGAGGCAGAGCTGTGTCAGGCACACTGCCTGCCTGACATTTTCCTTACCATTCAAGTAGACAGCATTCAGCAAGACAAGGCGGGTGTCAGAGGGCAGGCTGTCCAGCAGCTTGATGATCTTGTGGTTGGTGTTCTCAGCCACCCAGGTGTTGATGAGTTCTAAGTTAGCATCACTGTCCAGGCCCAGGACTCTGGGGCTGCTTCCATATAGGCTCTGAGAGGCATTCACATAAATGTCCCTTATGGCCAGGTCTGAGGGGCAGGACAAGAGAGGGAAGTATGAGTCCTCTAGACAATCCAAGCCACCTTCAAAGAGCAAGTGTGAAGTGGTCACATATGTTTTAGTTTTCCTTGTTTAGTTTTTTTTTTTTTTCTTTTCTGAGGCAGGGTCTCACTATGCAACTCCGGCTAGCCTAGAACTTGTATACACCGGACTGGCCTGGAACTCACAGAGACTTGCCTGCCTCTGCCTCCTGAGTGCGGAGATTAAAGGCCATCACATTTGTTGAGGTTTCCATGGTTCTTCTTGCTCACTCCAATAAAGACAAAATGCTAGTGCAGGGCCAGCCCACTCCTCCATTATATGCAAATTTATTGTAAGCAAATCAGACTTAAGAAAACAAATCTCGAGCTCAGAACAGCAAATCCACTCCTAGGTATGTCTGCTGCTTCTGCAGCTAGTGACAGTACTTAGCTAGACAACTTCCTATGACACAGCTTGCCCTTGACTGTCCCCTCTGTCCTTTCCATGTCCCACAGGAATAGACTCGACTTTGAAGCCTCAGTGGAAGTTCATGACAAGACTTCCTGACTGTGCTCTCATGGCCCAAGTCCACTGGAGAAAATGTGAGAGCTTGGAAGAATAGACTGTTTTACTGCACTAAATAGATCAAAGTATTTTTCCAGGCTTGGTTGATACTGCATGCAGTCTGATATCCAGACCTTAGCAGAACTATGGATGTGATGAAGGTAGCTCTAAAATACTGAATGTAGTGGAATTGTTCATTAACTGGACAGGACAAAAGATACCACTGGTTGTTAGTAGATAAGTAAAGTAGTATGTATTGAAATCTCTGAGCCAAATTTTTTTTCATATCAAAAAGATACATTTTAATGCCGGGTGTGGGGGAACATGCCATTAACCCAAAAACTTGGTAGGCAGAGGTATGAGGAGCTCTGTGATGTCAAGGCAGGCACAGTTGACATAGAGAGGTCCAAGATAGCTAGGACTACATAGTGACATCCTGTTGAGAGAGAAAGGAGGAGGGACTGAGATTTTAGGTAATCTCCTTTCCTATTTTATTTCCCTATATCTTCTCAGTTTTTAACAAATACAACTTTCTTTCTTTTAAATTGTTTATTTATTTATTTATTTATTTTTATTTTATATGCATTGGTGTTTTGCCTGCATGTATGTCTGTGTGAGGGTGTCAGATCCCCTGGAACTGGAGTTACACACAGTTGTGGGCTGCCATGTAGATGCTCGGGATTGTACCTGGGTCCTCTGGAAGAGCAGCCGGTGCTCTTACCTGCTGAGTCATTTCTCCAGCTCAAATATGGCTTTCATAGTTAAAAAATAAAAGAAAAAGCCAAGCATGATAACACATGTCTATAAGCTCAGCAACTTAGACCAGAGACTTGCCAAAAAGTGAGGTTATACCTTTAATTCCAGCACTCAGAGGCAGAGGCAGGCTGACTCTGTGAGATCGAGGCCAGCCTGGTCTATGTAGTGAGTTCCAGGACAGTCAGGGCAGTTACACAGAGAAACCCTGTCTTGAAAAAAATGAGGCTACAAAGCAAGGCTATCTCAGGACATAAGTAAACAGAGGAAGAGGACTGGGAATGTAGCTCACTGGTAACACCATGTGGCATGCACACGGACCTGGGTTTAATTCCAAGTACCACAAAGAAGAAAGGAAAGATAGGAGACAATATTTTCATATACATATCAACACCAATCAGACAAACAAAAATCCAAAAGCGAGGGGTTAGATGATTCTGATTTTTAACTTTGAAAGCAATCGAGCTTTGTTTTCAAAGTCATAAGCGGGCTCCCGTGAGGCAGGCAGGAGTGCTGAGTCCTGCAGGTCCACCTTCCTCTCATAGGAAGGGTGCCTCCCACCCCATACCAGCCATTCTGATACCCCATCCCCACCACCTCCTGAGCAGCTCTGCAGAAATGGCCAGCTCTAGGGTCCCAAGTTTAAAAACAACCACGCCAGATTATCTGTGAAGTTTCTTCTCCTTATTTACTGCTTGCTGGTATCATCTACCTAACACAACCATGTGAATGGTAACAGCATAGAAGTACAAAGAGTGAGTCTGAAGACTTAACCTATAACTTAGCAAAACACATTGTTCTATGCTCCTAACTCTAACCTTCTAGCTTCTAACCTCTAGAGGTGTCTAGCCCTGCTGTGAACAGTTAGATAGGACTTTCTTACTCTAAAGAACGGACAAATGCAAATGATTTGCCCAGGTCTCAGAGGGAGGAGAGTCCAGCTCTTGGAGTCACTGAATGTACTGCTGAGACCCCCATCTACTCACCCCCAGTATAGTCCCTCCACCCTCCTTCCCAGGCCTTCTCCTCCAGAATCCTCCAGAACTTACTGTCTGTCCTGTACGCTCACCTGGGTTGTGGAAGATCTGTGACACAGAAGTCACACCTTTGGACGAAAAGGCTCTCAGAGCCTCGTGGACGCAGGCAAAATCCTTGGGGTAGGAAAGGACATCCTCTAAATTGCTCTTGGTGCTGTCTCCAGCCCCTACAACAGAGATAGAGAGAGATAAGGGTTCTTGGGGGAGGTACGGGAGGCCCACTATTTGGTGCTAGGGCCTCGGACTGGCGAGAATGGAGGGTGTTTCCTGCTAAGGTGGGGTTCCAGAGCGTCAGAACTGTATTCTGGAAGACAGTTCATGGGTCAGGAAGAAGGTGGTGGGAGGTGCTGAGTCATCCTGCTTCACTTTCCCAGGGCTTCAAACATCCTCCTTCCCTGCTTCTCCTCCTTTGTAAGCCACACACATCTTTCTAAGCACTGCTCCACCATTTAGATGGTCTGGATTTACAAAGGGGCATCCTATAAGCAGAGGTATTTAATCACTGTTATAAGAGACCATTAAACACTTAACTGTGCATGTCTTCTCTGCTACAACAGCTAAAATCTGTCTAGAGCATTTCTTCTAGTCCAGGTACTCCAAAGCTTCTCCTATGCTATTAAATGATTACCCAACTTTTACATAAGATACTCACTTTCCTATTAGATAGAGGGGGCCTTGAAGTTTCAGAGATTGTGTTATTAATGCATTTAAAGCCACAGAGCTAATAAGTGAAAGATGAAGGCAGGATTTAAACTGAAATGAATGGAACCAACTGACTAGAAAGGACCTCCCCGGAGATTTTAAGGATGTCTGAGGACAGCCTGGTTGTCATACCTGGAGAGTCAGGTGCTACCAGCATCTCACCCACTATGGTGAGATGTTAGGATTTTGGGATGTCAGGAGAAGGGGTCTTCCGTGCGCAGTCTCTAAGAGCCTTCCTGTAATTTTCCTTGCTGGGATGTGAGGGGTGCCATCTCTCTCTCTCTCTCTCTCTCTCTCTCTCTCTCTCTCTCTCTCTCTCTCTGTGGTAATTTGCCTTTCCTAGAAGAATCACTCTATTTTTTTTTTTGAGACAGGGTTTCTCTGTGTAGCTTTGGAGCCTATCCTGGCACTCGTTCCACAGACCAGGCTGTCCTTGAACTCACAGAGATCCACTTGCCTCTGAGAATCACTCTTACGAAGGCAGAAAGTTTTTTACCTCCCAGAGAGTCACGGCACCATAGTATCAGATATCACCATCTCTACTTAACATTGAGAACGCCCACTCAAGAGAGCTAGAAAGTGCATTATCATGATTCCATCTTAGGTTTCATCTCCCTTATCACCTTCCATTGCTTTGAACGGTGACTGGTGAATAGGGCCTGATTCTATATGTTGTTAATGAGCCCATAGCATTTTTATAAGCAATAGTACGTAATTAAATTATTGCTAAATAAAGCAGCATTTAAGAATGAAGACCTACCACCCCACCCTGTAGACTATTTTACAGCTCCTTTCCATAGGCTCGCAGAGGTGTGAGATTGGTGATCCCTATGAAAGGGTCCCATGTACATCCTGGGTGGAAGTCAGAGTCTTACCAAGAAGGACCTGTGTGAGGAGGCTTGCAATGCTGAATGGCGAGAAGGCCATGTTGGTCTCAGCCTTCTTGGTGGCTGAGAAGGCATGATAGAGCCTCACAGAAAACTCTGTCAAAGCCTCTGCCAGCGTAACCTCTGAGGAGCCTCTGTCTAAATCAGAGCACTGAGCCAGGGGCCCTGGGCAGAAGGGCTCAGTGGGAGCCTGGGTGGGAGAATCCGTGGTTGTGGAAGGCTGGCTGGTGGGACCCATGGGGAACTGTCTGGAAGGATCTGTGGCTGTGGAAGGCTGGCTGGAAGGATCCATGGAGGACTGGCTGGAAGAATTTATAGGGGGCTGGCTGGGAGAATTTATAGGGGGCTGGCTGGGAGAATTTAAAGGGGGCTGGCTGGAAGGATTTATAGGGGGCTGGCTGGAAGGATTTATAGGGGGCTGGCTGGGAGAATCCATGGGTTGCTGTGCAGTCGGTTGACTGGGCTGGATGAAGGACTGGGTGGTGTTGGCTGTGGATTTGGTGGATGCATTGGTTGTTGGCCCGGTAGAAGACTGTACTGTATGCTTGATGGGACTCCATGGATCGTCTCTCTCAGGAAAGATGTCTCTGCTTTCCTCTTGAGTGACCAATGGATCCTGGGTGCTGTGGCTGGTATCTGAGAAGGCTCTATCCTATGATTCAAGAAAACAGGGTTTCATTTCTTAGTGATCCATATTCCCCTCAACCACTCCAAGCAGGAAGACTGTGAGAACACAGTACCAGTTGCTTTTGGTATAGCCTGGCAGAAATAGGCAATGCTGGGGGAATTCTCAACAGGAGACATGAGGTAATTCCAATTTGGTTATCAGTTATCTGGGTCAGTGACCACCGTGAAAGAAGTTGTTTCTTGTAAATATCTACTTGTTTTGACTCACTTGCCAGGGTAGTATGAACATTTGCATTTGTGAGCCTTCTTTTAGGCCTGTGGACCTTCAAAGAGTGGATGTGGTATACCGGTGGGTATTGAAAACAATTAGTATAGGGAAAGGGAAGACGGGAAGGGTGGAAATTAGGTGTAATGGCACAACCCATAACCTCAGTCATCTAGGCGTTTGGGAGGTGGAGACAGAAGGATCTCTTTATGGGCAGTGTTTTCAGAAGCGGAAAGGAAAGTGTGTAAAATCCAGATCCCTTGCTCAACCGGACATCATGTGCTGACTCCCAAAGGTCACCCAGGATGCCAACTTCCAGCATAACACCCTGCTCATCCACCGGAAGCAAGCGCTCACTCTTTTCATGAGTTTGCTTGGTATCCTTTTCCTCCTAGGCTACTGGGACCCTGGCGCCGGCCCAGGTCTGTCCTAGCCTTCTGTCCCTGCACCCCACTTTCTATAGACCTGGCCTGGAAGAGCCTGTCACAACAGCGGCGGTGGGGGGGTGCTTTCCATAACTTGGGGCTTGTCTTGCCTTCTATGACCCAGACAAGTCTGACTGGTGAGCTGGGTGGGGTCTGTGTAGTTTCCCTTTTATATATTGGGTTAAGGAAGCCTGGAGAAGCGTCTGGCCCAAGGCCATTTAGCTAATGTATCTTCTGATATAGAACCCTCCTGTGCCCGAACTTAAGAATTCCAGAAGCTTTCCTCCCTTGCCAGGGCCTGAAGGGTTAATCCTCCCTCCTCACCCCCCCCCCCAATCTCACAGAGGGACCACTTACCCCAGCCAGCAGCAGCAGCAGGAGGGTCAGCGGGGTCAGCCTGGAGGCCATCTGGGCAGCGATGTCAGCTGCGACCTGCAAAGCCAGTTACCCTTAGAGCCAGCTTTGAGCCTAGGAGCTCAGGGGGTCCACCCCATCCCCAAGCCCGCCCCCATTCCGTTCCAGGCCTCGACCCTACTTGATGTGTTCCCGCCTCCTCCCTCTGGGGCCACCTTCTCCCTGGCTCCGCCCTCTGTTTTGTTTTCCCCAAACCGCTCCGCTTTCCCGGCACCGGCTGGCCCTTCTCTCCCTTCACGCCCAGGTTTCAGTCCATCTGTTCAATCTCCTGGGTCCTGCTTAACTAAACAATAAATCAGGGGCAGCCGGAGAGGAGGGCCAGGGCGAGCTGGGCAGCTTAGCTTTGAGGGAGGAGGAGGCAGAAGGCTCAAGTGGAAGGAAGCCTTTGGAAACTGCAGAGATAACAAACGGGGGAGGGGGGGCTGGAAAAGTGGGGGAGAAGGAGGCTGGAGACCTCCCTGCCAAGCCCTCTTGACTTTCTGTTCCTTCCCCAGAGCCCCCATTACCAAACTTGGTTCCAGTTCTTGGTCACTAGGCAGCTTCAGGGCAGACTGAGTGGACAGGCGCAGAGGATCAGCGAGGGGGGGGGGCGCTGTTTCAGCTATTGGCTGGCTCAGGACACTGCCCAGTTAAAATTTAAGGATGATTGATCACTAGTGTGAGTTCCTGTACATCAGGATGGGAAAGGTGTGGGATACACCGGGTCTGGCACCGTGGGCTAGACTAGGAGTTTAGCCTGGAGCTCCTCCCGGAGTGGGGTGGAAGCAGGGTAGGATGCAATGGGATGGGATGGGGAAGCTTGAGGGCGGCTCTCAGCGATGCACAGCCAACCATTCCTCCTGTGTTTCATCAGGACAAGAGCAGAAGAAGCATAAGCGTGTCCAGCATTTTACAGGAGATGAGCTTTTTGGATAAATGGGTAAACTAACCCCTTGGAAATAGGCCGTTTGAGAGTTAAGACACCAAGCCGTAAAAGCAGTTAAATGTCTGGTCTTTCCATCGCCGTCATTTGGAGATATGTCAGGCTTGGACCTAAGTCTCCTTAAGCCCTAATGGCTGTGGGATCATCCCCATCCCTACACATAATCAGTTGTTTCAAGTTTGAGAACAAGGAATCTGATGTTCTACCTGAGCCCGGGGTTTCAATTTCTAGTGCTATAACAAACCAAAACAACCACAAAAACCAACAACCAAAACAGAACAACAACAGTTCCAAGCCAGCCAAACAAACAAGTCCTGCCGTGTATGTATTTGTGGTTGAGTTGTCACCATGAGCCTGTTATGGGAGACCCTGGCAAGGAGGAATCCACTTAAATGTGAATTTTAAGTAAATCTCATGCAATCTTGTAATCTGCTTGTGATAAAACTTTTTGCCATTGTCGTATATCTAAAATCAGATTTTACTCAGCGTCTGTATTTTATTTGCTAAATCTGACAGTCCTACATCCCCTGCAAAGCAAGGCTGTTCTCTCCGACAACCTGATGTAGCTATGAAGTCCTGTGATCATCTAACTGCAAGCCTGACCTCTATCTGGGGTTTGCCTCCTCCAGGAAAGTTTGCCAGTGCCAAGGTTAAGTTTGGACCACATCTGGCTGATGTTGAAATTCTTGTAGTTATTAGCCCATGCTAGGGGCTAATCTATAAGCAGCCAACAGAATGAGATCCTATGTCCCAGCACTTTCTGGCTGAAGTTTCAGGGTGAACAGTAGAGAAGTAGAGAAATTTTCTTGGGTTCTAGGTCTCTTTCCTTGAGTATTTTGGTCACCACTGCCTGTGTGTCCTGGCCATTCACAGGTATCTGCATTGTAGCAGCTTTCATATTTGATGAGGCTGGAGCTGCAACTGATTGCACCACTATGTTGACAGAATTTCTTCCCTGTGTGGATCTAACTGGTGTAAAGTTGTAAATTCAGCCCTCCCCCACCAGGGGCTGCGGTGTTTATGCTCTGGATATTAGTGCTTTGCATGACTGAGCTTTGCCTCTGATTTCCTACCACACACTTCTTGCTGTGGAAGCCACAGCGTTGACAGCCACAAACAAGTGTTTGATGTGGCTCCTGGTGTCATTGCACCACAGATAATATCTGCATTTAATACTTGTATGTATCCCTATCGCCTCACATGGGCATTTTTCTGTTTAGCTCTACAGAGACTGAGCCTTTCTGGAAATTGTACTCCTAGCCTGCTCATTCACAACCCTTCTGCTAAAACTCCTATTCTTTCTTCCTGGCAGTCTCCAGCTGGTGCCAAGAGCTGGATGGAGATGAGGAATGAAGCCTGGAAATTAGATCCAAATATTTGTGGAGAATAAACATAGTAAATACTATAAAGGTGACATCTATGAACCATTACTCCGAGTAAGAAACAGGATACTGGGCTGGAGAGATGGCTCAGAGGTTAAGAGCACTGACTGTTCTTCCAAAGGTCCTGAGTTCAATTCTCAGCAACCACACGGTGGCTCACAGCTATCTGTAGTGATATCTGATGCTCCCTTATGGACTGCAGGCATATATACAGATAGAACACTAGTAATAAATAAATCTAAAAAAATCTGCTTAAAAAAAAGAAACAGGCTACTATTGACACTCCAGTTCTGTCTTGTTAGTCACAATTTCCACTGCTGTAGGACACCACCATCCTAATGCTACTGAAAGTATCTCCCTCACTCCCTTTCTTTTTCCCCTGTGGTGATAGAGATTAAATCTAGGGCCTGTATGGTAGACAAGCACTCCGCTATGCTTGTGACCGAGTCTTCAGTAGCCCTGGATGGTCCTATGACTGACTGTAAGCAAAGTTGACCTTGAACTCCTAATGCTCTCCCACTTCCCACGTGCTGAGAGTACGGGCATACACTACTACACATGGTTTGGCCCTTGAGTTTTTTGAGACAGGATCTCCCTATGTAAGCAGGCTGGCCTCAACCCCTCAAGCCTCCTGCTTCTGACTCCTGAATGCTGGAATTATAGGAGTGGACCATTGTGCCCAGTTTATGCAGTGCCGGGAACAAAATTCAGACCTCTGTACATGCTAAGCAGGTGCTGTCCACTGAGCTATACCCCCAGCCTTCACTTTGAAGTTTGTACCCTAGATACCTGACTTCTCTCACTGAAAATTACACTTTTATGTATGCATGTTCATGTGCATACATGTGTGTGAGTGGATGTGTGCTTTTGTGACACACACATCAAGACCAAAGGAAAACTTCAGATGTTGTTCCTAAGGAACCATGTGCCTTTCCTTGCCTGCCTGGAACTCTCTAGCTAAGCTGTCTGGCTCGTGAGCCCTGTGATCATCATGTTTCTTCCTCCCTAATGCTAGGATTACAAGCATGTGCCTCCAAACTGGACTTGTTCTTAAATTGTTTTCTCTTAAAAAATCAATAATCAATTAAAGTGTGTGGTGTGTGTGTGTGTGTGTGTGTGTGTGTGTGTGTGTGATGTGTCTGCAGAGAGCAGAAGAGGGCACCAGAATCTACTGGGTCTGGAGCTACAGGTAGTTATGAACTGCCCGCATGAATGCTGGGAACCAAACTTGGGTCCTGAGGACAACTTGAGGGAGTTAATGCTCTTCTACTAGTGGATCTTAGGAATCAAACTCAGGTCATTAGTCTTGGCAGCAACCTCCTTTGCCCCATTGATCCATAATTGGCCCCATGCCTATTTTTAAAAAGTGGCTTCTGGGGATTGAAGTCAGGTCCTTATATCTGCAAGGCAAACACTTTACCAACTGAGCCATCTCCAAGCTAGCTTGGCTCTCTCTGAAAAAGAAGAAGAAGAAGAAGGAGGAGGAGGAGGAGGAGAAGAAGAGAAAGAAAAAAATCAATTATAGCATGTGGCGGTGGTCTATTTTCATTTCTGCATAGTTTGCAGCTACATGCTTTCTTTTTAAATTTGAAGAAGTAAAATCTCACTGTTTCTCAGGCTGGCCTTCAGCTTCTGTACTCTTTCATCCTGCTTCATCCTGCCTCGGAGCTGGCACTGATGCATGCCATCCATTACACGTTGTTAGTTTTCAGTTATTTTGGTGTTCTGTAATTCTATTTGTTCTACTGTTGATAGACATTTGGGTTGCTTCCAGTTGCAGCCTGTTCCAAGCAATGCTACTCTAGACCTAATTGTCTTCAGTCTGTTTCTTAGGTCTTATACACAGGATTATCATGGCTAAGAGATGTTGTGCAGCCTCAACTTGACTAACATTTTCCAATGCGTCTTTACCAGGGTAGACTCTCCCAGTTTACAAAAGTATTGTGGTCATTCTTTTTATTTTTTCCTTCCCCTACTTTTTATTTGTCTCAGGCTGGTCTCGAACGCCTGATCCTCCTACTTCTGCCAGTTAAGTGCTGGGATAGTCACAGTCTATCACCCCACCCCGATAAACTTGTTTATATTTTGAGATGTCTTTCAAGACAGAATTTCTCAGTGTAGCCCTGGATGTCAAGCTAATCTCGAACTGGAGATTCCCCTGCTTCAGTCTCTTCGGTGCTGGGTTTACAGGTGTATGCCACTACAGCTGGTGTTAAATGATGACGAATTTTATATCTTCACTTGGTTATGCCAGGGTTCTGCTACTTGGTCAAACATTCTGGAGGAGTCTATATGGCTAATTGTTAAAATTATATATATTTATTTATTTTGAGGCGGAATCTCACTGTGTAGCACTAGATGGCCTGTAACTTACTATGTATACCAAGGTGGCCTCACACTCACATGGTTCTATCTGCCTCTTGCCTCACGGTGCTTGGACTAAAGGCTTGCACCATCATGCCCGGGTTACTTACTTACTTACAAGATCATTTATGTGTGTGTGTACCATGTATGTGCCACGTGTGTGCAGGTGCCCACAGAGAGCCAGAGAGGATGTCAAGTGCCTTGGAGCTAGAGTTACAGGCAGTTGTAGGCTTCCCCACATGGGTCATGAGAACTGAATCCCGTCCTCTGGGAAACAGAATTTCTTTTAACTGCTGAGCCACAGCCTTTTTTTCTTAAATTTTATTATGTTTATTTATTTATTTGTATGTACATGCAAAACTGTTTTTTTTTTCTTCTACCAATGTGGATCACAGGGGCAAAATGACCCTCTGAACCATCTAGTGTAGGGTGGTTTTTTGATGAGCTTCATATCTGAGGAAATCAAGTTGTCCTCCATGATCCAAAACGGTCTCATCCAGTCAGCCGAGGTACTAATAGAACAACCCCCGCACCCCCACTTCTCCAGCAAAGAGGAATTTTGCCAGGAGACTGCTTTTGGGTTAGCGTCCCCAGTCACATGAGATAATTCCTTAAAATAAATTTCTTTTCTATATATACACACCCTGTTGGTGCTGCTTTTCTGGAGAAAATGACTAATAGAGGCCAAACACTAAGGCTCAGTATTATGTGTTTCAAAGGCTTGTGGCAAGAGTCCCTTTCCTCTGCTCCCTGGGGTAAGGCCTCTAGCTGATAGCCTTCCTTGTCAAGACTATCAGGTATATTCCTGCTTATCAGTGAGAACTGGGTTTCATTTCCCTGGCAGCCTGGAGAATTAGCCAGACAAGAACCACCCCAAACTCTTGTTATTATGATGCCTGAATCCCACCACCCCTATGTT